TTGCTGATTTCTTGGCTTTGTGGATCTGCTTTCTTGTTTTTTCCATCTTAAAGCAGGTTCAGAACTAGGCTGAAGTAGTTTCAGTTAATAGTCCTGATTCTGAAATGCCATTTTGTAAAGTCAGTTCTTTTAAGTATTATCTCAATAGTATTCTATTCTTATTAAATGAAAAAGTGTAAAGCCAGGTGTGGTGATATAAGCTCATATTCCTATCATTCAGGAGATGCTGAGGCTGGAGGATCACAAGTTTGAGGTCGGCCTAGACTACACAGTGAGACCTTGTCTCAAAAAAAAAAAAAAAAAGTAGAAGGACCAATAGCAGATTAAAGATGTACTTAAAGGAATAAAAATTTCAACCTTTTATTAGGGTTATTTTACCAGAAATGCTTGTAATCTTAAAACTCTTCTCATGTGTTTTTGTCACTGATTTCTTATTTTTAAAAATTTTTTATACAGGTTGACTATTCTCATATTTACAATGCTTGGCATTAGAACTATTACTGATCTTGAAATATTTGTGTATACATTATAAGATATATTGGGGAGGGGACCCAAGTTTAAAATGAAATTTGTGATTCATATATACCTTATGCACATAGCTTGGAGGTAATTTTATACAATGCTTTAAATAATTTTGTGCATGAAACAATTTTACAGTGTGGAATTTTTCACTCATGGCATCATGTTGACACTTAAAGTTTGGGACTTTGGAGCATTTCAGATTTTGGATTTTTAGATAAGAGGTGCTCAATTTCTAATATCTTTTGATAATCCAAACCATATGAACATCTAAGAATTTTATAAATATATTTATTTATTTTTTTAAATAAAATGTTGTTAGTAACTCGAAAGTCATTGGTAATTATTAATCTCAGCAATTCTAGTGTTGTCTGTATTGCTTTGTAAAAAATGTAAATTTTAGTTTTGTTTGAGGGATCATATACCATTTTAAAGATATCATAGGTGGACTTAGCGAGGAAAGGGGCTATGATCAGCTAGATGAATAGTGAAATACTGGCTTTGCCTGGTTAGAGAGTAATGAATGTCAGTGAAAGAAATTAGTAGGTAGGTACTCACTGTGATAAGAAGGAACTTTTGTTAAGATGTAGTTCACCAGGGTATCACTAGTTACTGTAGAAAGACTCCAGGCTTTTCCTTACAGGCACATGGTGTTTTGTGTCATTTATCGTATCTATGGAGTAGAAATATGGTGAAGCCTTGAAGATAAGTACTTTTTATTTTTCACTCTTTCATCTCTGGTAGAATACCAGTCCAGAAGGATAATAAAATCTTAAGTTTTTTCATTGTATAAAATAGAAATTTTGTTTGTTGTAGTCCTCTGAGTTTTTCTACGAGAAGAGGAGTAATGAATCACCTAAGTTTTCTATAAAAATAATAAGCTCTTTAGATAGGCACTAAAGCGATTATGAAATTGCATTTGTAATGAGGTACTAAAACTTTTTTTTGTCTAGCATTCTATAGCTGATTCAAGTTTTCTTCTTTTAAACAGGAAGCTGCTTTAAAGAATAGACAAGAATTATATGCACTACCTCCTCCCCCCCAGTACTACTCAAGCCTTATTGAAGAGATAGGAACTCTTGGTTGGGATAAGTATGTCTTTTAAAATATGCTTTAGAAATGCCTTTGTTTTAGACAATTTAATATGTTTCCAGTTTAAGCAATTTATTTTATACCTGTTTTTAGTCAGAGTGCTTCATTGTAATTAGAGTATATGATTCTTATTGCTGTTATCGATTAAGAGGGAGGGTATCTTAAAATATTGACCTGCAAAGCTAAATATAATTTGGACAAAAATGACATTTTTGTGTACATAGCATGAAGTTATCTTAGTAGATATTTTCACAATATATAACATTATTTTGAATGTTACTAAATTATCCCTGTTTAAAAAGTGATATCCAATATCCAGGCATGGTGGTACATGCCTGTAATCTAGCTACAGGAAACGCGGTAGGAAGATGGAGGATCTACGTCTGCTGGGACAAAAGTGCAAGAATCTATCTGAAAAAGCAACTAAAAGAACTGAGGGCATGGCTCAAGTGGTAGAGCACAAGCAAGCCCAAGGCTCTGAGTTTAATCCCTAGCACTGCCAACAACATAAGAAAAGAAAACAAAAACCAAAAGCAATGCTGAGATATACACGACTGGGAAATCTGCAGTGTTTTTGGTGTGTTTAGGTAAATGTGTAGTTGTTTTTGGTTATCTACAGTTTGGCCATTCTAAGATTAAATACCTATATACATTTCAAGTGTTTTTATAATTTGAGAAGTGAATTTTAGCATCTAGGGTTTGGAAGAATCATCTAGCTTTCTTTAGAAAAAATGATGAATGAAGAAACTTAAAAGCAGTTCAGTAGATTGGTATGCAGGTTGTTGAAACTTCATCCATATATCACCTGGGAAAAGATCTGTGGTGATTTGCTTGATTTTAGTATAATATTAACTTTCTACATTGAGCTAGAGAATCAGTATAGATAAACCAATTTAGTTCTTCTCAGTTCTTAATCACTGTCAGTTCTATTTTAGTATTCAGTTATTATTTCAGCTTAGATTGCTAGTTACTAAGATAAATCAAAGGCTGACTGTTAGTTACTATGTAGAATGTGGAACTTTTTTACCAGTAAGTGTTTCTGGAAGTGTTTAAAATATTTTATTGTTCTGTTTGTTATTTTTTACCTTTTTTTCTCAGTTGGTCTTTTGAGAGCTAACTTAAAAGAACCAGAAAAATCAAATATCATTTTAAAAGAAGGCAAGAACATATCTTAGGTGCAAAATATATGTCTAGAATATATGCCCATAATCTGATACCTGAAGAAAAACTAGTCATAAACATATTTTTAGAGTTCCAACTTATTTCCGTATAAATTTGTTTGTAGAGGTGCTTAAAAATACAGTGTCAGTATTAGAGAAAGAAAGATTCTTCTTTTTGCTCATCATCCAACATCCATTTATATTCCTTATTAGCCTTTTCTTAGAACAGTTCCTCCTCTTTTCCCATCATTTTTTTCCCACCACTAAATTTGAATGAGAGGCCTGTTCCTCCTTTGGTGCAGAGATGGGTTGGCCATTTTCCTAGGCATGTACTTTAGACTTTGGTGTGTTTAGGTAAATATATAGTTATTTTTGGCATGTACTTAGGAACCCTGAAATTCATACACTGGGTTCTTGACAAAAATTGCAAGCTTCAACTTTCAACTGTTAAAACCTTACTAAAAATCACGATTTCTAGTAATAGTGTTTCACTGTAGATGATGGGTTGCTTAAAGTTTGTATGGTATAATTATTTTAGGTTTCCCAAATTGAATGTTAGAACCCAGCATCGTTATTTTGGTCTTTTGTATAATTGCTCTTGAGGATGCAACTGATTGACTAGTGTTAAATTATGCCAAATGATACAAACCCATGAAATGCATTAGGGATTTTGTTTTTGGAGGTCTTCCATTTCATGATACAGCATTATCTTAATGAGAAACCATGAAATTTGTTTTCCTCCTTCAGATGTTGGAAAAGTCATGCTTCTCCTAAATATCTGCCCTCTTTTTGTTTTAATACTTATTTTTATTTTTTGTTGTGCTGGGTGGGGTACATTGTGGCATTTACAGTATGCCCTCTTATTTAATAGATAATCTGAATCCTATAATTGATTAAGTTCTCTTTGACATGGCCCCAAGGAGGCTTGTTAACTGTTTGACTCTTTTTAGAGCCATGTTGGATATAGGATTTACATTTCTGTGTGCTAATATAACCTTGAGTTTTGTTTTCTTGCTACTTTTGTTTTTTTTTAATTGCCTTAAATTCTTTATGGAGTTGTTACAAATCAGCTCTATCCAGGCAAGAAAATGCTTCTCCAGTTATTCCAGACCCGTGCAGGTATTTGCATGTGCAAAGAGTGGATGACAGTGGGTAATGGCAGTTGGCCCTGGGCCTTTCACATTTAGGGTTCGGGCCCTAAGTGTTATAGCATCTTTGGCAGGAGGGATCTCTCTGCTAGCAGATCCCAACCAGTTACTTTTCTGTTGCCTTTTGATATTCTCTGCTGCCAGATTCTGCCTGTCCCGCTGCCCTGGTCTCTTTTACCTGGGCCACTCTGTGTGCTTTCCTTACTGCTGCCCTGCTGTCAGGACACCTTCCTCCCTGCCACTGCTGCTTTTCTTGGTGTTACAACTCAGCAAAGATGGGCAAGACCACTCACGAGAAAGACTTTATGAGGAAGTGATATTATAACATCAGGGGGACAAAAGGAGGATGTTTCCTAGATGCTCACAAAGTGAATTGACCCTGCTGCTTGTGTAGCTAAACGGGGGAGGAGCAAAGGGTATCTGCACCAATCTTGATAGTAGTCCCCTTATGTTTGCACCATTATACAAATGAAGTATTCTGTTTGCACCAATCACAGATCTTCTGTTAGGGTGAAGTGTCTCCTCACCCTTTCCCTGGGTGGATGTAGTAGTTCTCTCTGGTTAGTGAAAGCACCTTTCAAAAGGGTGCTTACAACAAAGGCTTATCACTAATAATACTTTAGCAATATTTCACAGTGTTCCAACAATGCTTAACTTCTGTCCTATTGTCTTGGGGAGAGGTGGGCCCCTTCTATGTGTTTCAGAATGAGTGATATTAAAAATAAAAAGATCTAATTGTCTCTGTTCTCTTACAGCATTTTATTCTGATACTCTCACTGAAATTGTATTCATGAAGACTGACATAAAGATTGATCTTTATTCCTTACTTTTTCCAGTGTTTGATTTTATTAACTACCTTTTCCTTTTTAAAACTCTGTTTTTGTCTTTTGTAACCATTGTAGATTCTTTCTTTTATTTTAATTCCTTTAATCTGGTCAGAGATCTTTTTCTTCCATGTCCTGGATATGAATTACCCATTATGGTTCTAGGCTTTTCTTCTTCCTTCAGAGACAGAGTAACCATTTTTTAGCCATTCGTCTGTTGCCTCCATTTAGTTTTTACTTCATATTTTTTTTTACATTTCTATTAAGTTTCATGAAAACATTTGGCAATAACAATTTGACTTCATTATTTGAAACACTCTTCTGTTCCTCCTTCTCTGAAGCTCCCAAAGTACAGTTCTTCTCTAATAGTCAGGCTTTGGTTCTAGGCATTTCTTCAGTTATGTGTATTAAAACATATCTTGACCCTTTCTGTGTATTTATTTCGAGTCAATTATTAAGCCCCTTCCAAAGTTGTTACGATGGAGTTTGATAAGATCCCTAACTACTGCATTGATGTCTACCTCTAGTTTCTATATTCTTTCTTCTTGGTAGGTCATTTTACTGTTTTTGATACCCACAATCCAGAGTAAAATAGCCACTCACCAATTAGTAAATATATTCAAAAATTTTTTTTTTAATTTTTATTTTATTCATATGTGCATACAATGTTTGGGTCATTTCTCCCCCCTCCCTGCACCCTCTCCCTCCCCTCGCCTAACCCCCCCTTACCCCTCGCTATGAGGCAGAAACTGTTCTGCCCTTATCTCTAATTTTGTTGAGGAGAGAGTATAAGCAATAATAGGAAGCACCAAGGGATTTTGCTAGTTGAGATAAGGATAGCTATACAGGGAGTTGACATGCATTGATTTCCTGTACATGTTTGTTACCTTCTAAGTTAATTCTTCTCGAACTAACCTTTTCTCTAGTTCCTAGTCCCCTTCTCCTATTGGCCTCAGTTGCTTTAAAGTATCTGCTTTAGTTTCTCTGTGTTGAGGGCAACAAATGCTATCTAGTTTTTTGGGTGTCTTACCTATCCTCAAACCCTCCTTGTGTGCTCTCGCTTTATCATGTGATCAAAGTCCAATCCCCTTGTTGTGTTTGCCCTTGATCTAATGTCCGCATATGAGGGAGAACATAAGATTTTTGGTCTTTTGGGCCAGGCTAACCTCACTCAGAATGATGTTCTCCAGTTCTATCCTTTTACCTGCGAATGATAACATTTCGTTCTTCTTCGTGGCTGCATAAAATTCCATTGTGTATAAATACCACGTTTTCTTAATCCATTCGTCAGTGGTGGGGCATCTTGGCTGTTTCGATAACTTGGCTATTGTTAGTAGTGCTGCAGTAAACATGGGTGTGCAGGTGCCTCTGGAGTAACCTGTGTCACATTCTTTTGGGTACATCCCCAAGAGTGGTATTCCTGGATCATATGGTAGATCAACGTTTAGATTTTTAAGTAGCCTCCAAATTTTTTCTAGAGTGGTTGTTCTAGTTTACATTCCCACCAGCAGTGTAAGAGGGTTCCTTCCTATACCTATTAATTCCAGAGTACTTCCAACTCTTTCCTGTATCAACTTTAGAGCTTGGGGTCTGATATTAAGATCCTTGATCCATTTTGAGTTAATCTTGGTATAGGGTGATAAACATGGATCTAGTTTCAGTTTTTTGCAGACTACTAGCCAGTTTTCCCAGCAGTTTTTGTTGAAGAAGCTGTCTTTTCTCTATCGTATATTTTCAGTGCCTTTGTCAAGTTGATTATAGGCTTCATATCCTGGTCCTCTATTCTGTTCCACTGGTCTTCATGTCTGTTTTTGTGCCAGTACCATGCTGTTTTTATTGTTATTGCTTTGTAATATAGTTTGAAGTCA